TGGTCTGAGGATGTTTTCAAACAGAGGCTACAGGGGAGTCAGGCGTCAGAGGTTTAAGGTATGGGGTCCATGGGGCTATTCCTGAATTATCCATCCTGAATCCAGATCGGACAATGCAGGAAACAAAAAGGACACCGAACGCCAAGCATTGCGATGCCTGGTTGTCGCCGGCGACCATCGACGAGGCGGCACCTTCACATCTACAGATGTGAGACGCGGGTCAACTTCGGGGTCGCATTCCAGGGTCTCTGCCATGCGATTTCAGTAGGACAATAGAGGACCCGAATATATCACCTTCCCTTATAAAGAAAACTGACAAGACGATCTGCCCTCGACCTTAACCTATGGGTATTCATATAGGGGCCTTGATAATTAGAATTTTTGGTGTATATTAGACTACAAGTATATTAATAAGGAGCCCCCAAAATCGTATTGGCAGTTATTTAGGCCCGTGTATTATGGTCTAGCGTTTAGGGCTTTCAGGGTTTAGGCGCTTAGAATTTTTAACACGTGGGTTTAGGGTTTGGAGCGTATGGTTCAGGGATTCGCGGCCTCCTCCCACGCCGATGCGGTAGGCCGGGCCACCGATCTTCACAACAAGCTGGCCTTCCTTTCGATCAGTGGTCTTAAAGGTGTTTGGGTGTTCAGGTTTAGGGTCATTGAAGTGTTTTGGGGTTCTTGGTTCAAGCCCCAAGGTAAGGATCCTGTTCGGATTCAGATTACGTCCTCATCATCATGACCATCACCATCAGGCTCACCGTCAGCCTCATCGTCGTCGACGCAGCTATTCGCATCTTTGTCGCTACCAGCATCCGTACTCTTACCATCAACAGGTGCCTTGCTTGAGCCCTTGAGGGAGCCCTTAAAGGAACCCTTGAAGGAGCCCTGCTCGAAAGGAACCCTTTTAGGAACCCTGAAAGGAACCCTTAAAGGAACCCTTCACCGATGCCTTAAAGGAAGCCTTAAAGTCTCAAAGGAACCCTTGTAGGAACCTCTACATCTCCGCCTTGGGCTCCTCCTTCACGAGGTGGTTGTGGTCCATCTGCCCGAGGCCTCTCGAAAGCTGGTGACCTATTAATGATCGGAAAAGGGCTCCTTTAAAAGGGTAGGTTTCTTGATGAAGGGTTCATGCCGATCACAGTAGGGCTGAGACTTTCGGATGTGATGCAGGGGCCTCCATGGTTCGAATAGGGCCCCCACGAAGGTTCCGAGAAGGGGCTTTAGGGTTCTACAAGGCTTCTAGAAGGGTAAACAGGCCCTTAACCCTAGGCCGAAACCCTGAACCCTATACCTTGAACCAGAACTTAGAGCTTTATGGAACTCTCGAAGCCGCTTTGACGGCTGTCGGCTCTTACGGGCGGAGCCATGGCGCCTGACATCGGCCTTCATCATGCTCTCAACATGTAGCAAATAGGGCCCAAAAAAAAGCACATAAGCAAAAATTAGGGTATAGGGATATCCCATATAAATCCCCTTATGATGAAGCCCAATAAGGTAGGGATATCCCCATAAGATGCTTATGCTTATGTGCTTCTTGGGTCCCTAAGCAAAGGGTCAGGGCTTAGCGTTCAGGGTCCAGTATATTATGATGGCGAGCTGCAACTGCAGGTGTTTGATGTCGGTTGTCGATGCTCCTCTTAGGACGTCTATATCATTTTCCGACCACGCAAAGTAGGGACGAGGCAGTTATGTCGTACTGTATTATATTGTATTATATTGCATTATACTGCATTATATAAATTGCATGATATTACCCTAAACCCTAAACCCTAAACCCTAAACCCTAAACCCCTAAACCCTAAACCCTAAACCCCTAAACCCTAAACCCCTAAACCCTATTAGTGCCCAATCCCCAGCGCTTCGGCGGAGCCTCGAGTCTTTTGGGGGGGTTTTCATCGACTTCCGGAGCCAGGAAGAAGCACGGCCGTGCAATTAATTCGTGAGTTCGCGTGATATAAGGGCCTTTATAGTTAGAATAGGGTTTTGGAGCCCATTATACTATAATTATAGTAAAGAACCCTCAAAATCTGCCGAGAGCCTCAGGTCTTGATCCAACCCTGAACCCTAATATAGGAACCTGATTAAGAACCTTGGGCCTTTATTAGGGCCTTATATGCGTCCTTCTAATTTGGGGTTATAGGCCCCGGATTTCTTATCAGGTTCCTACATTACAGCCGACCTTGAACTATTTTTTGTAGGGTCTGATTGAATTAAGTCCTGGTACGGGATCTAGAAGGACCCTACAAAAAGCAGGCTTTGGCGGGTTAAGGTAACCCGAAACTTCTAAACCCTAAACCTTACACCCTAAGTCCCGCACTCGAAACCCTGAACCCTTCAACCCTAAACCCCAAACGCCCTGTCTTCAGCACTAGACCCTAAACTCTGAACCTTAGACCGTAAACCTTAGACCCTAAACCCTAAACCCCAAAACCCTACCCTGAATCCGGACCTCCTGACAACATGATGGGCTTCACCCACTCAAAGCGCTCCCCACTTTCCTGCATGCGCACGCCACAGGACCTGGCAGAGATCTGTGGTACCAACGGCTACTTTCATGTTTATGGTTTAGGGCTTAGGGTTTAGGGTTTAGGGTTTATCTAGTAATTCGATTGCCAAATTCGTCCCTCATGTTCTGATGCATTCCTGTAGCATAGCGTGCCTCAAAAGTCTGGTCTAATCACTGAAGGCCCCTGATGTACGCTCCTGAGGGAGGGTCTGGAGCCAGAGCCTACACAGTTCAGGGAAAACCTGAACTGCGTTTGACCTTGGGTTTTTAGGGTCACTGTGATGTCTCTATGTAAGTCAATGAGAAAGCTGGCTATCTGGCGTGATGGTAGGTTTCGAGAGCTTCTTTGCTTCAGGGCTTCAGCTTCAAATCAGGAGCCGACTTGCGAAGTCAGAGGCTCACTCCTTCAGGTCGTGAAGGACAAACCCTACATGGCAGGATCCTTGGCCTCAGCGCCCCCCAGTTTAGATACGAAAGCCTTAGAACCCTAAACCCCAAGAGATCCTAAACCCTCCTACGGACCCGCAAGAAGAGGAGGATCCTTGGTCAAACGGTTGATGATATAAATCCTGCATGACCCATAATTAGGAATATACCATAATTCCCATATACTTCTTATTATGGGTAATGCAGGATTTGTATCATCAACCGAAGGACCAGACCCCACAATAGAAGCATCCTTGGCTTTAAGGGCCCTTTTATGAGGGATGCGAAAGCCTCAAGTGGGCACCCTGGACCCCAATCCCTGAACCAATGCATCCACCCTAAACCCTAAACCCTGAACTCGGATCCCTGAACCCTGAACCCTTAAGGGGAACTCCAGAAAGTTGGAATATGGTTTCAGGGTAGGATACCTTATAATTTACCATCAAGGGTTTAGCTTCTACTGTAAGCCCCTAAACCCTAAACCCTAGACCCTAAACCCTCAACCCTAGGAGCCCTAAACCAATGCATCCAAACTCGGCTTCCCAAAGATCCCAACCTGGAGCTCCCGAAACCCTAAATCCCGAAACCCCGAAACCCTAAATCCCCAAACCCTAAACCCTAAGCCCTATAGATTCCTTACAAAATACCCTTACCTTCTGGATCCCTAAACCCTATAGATTCCTAAAAATATACCCTTAACTTCTGGATCCCAAAACCCCTAAAATCCCAAACCCCCCCCTAAATTTCGAGTTTGCCTGGTCCAGCCACAGATGAGCGGCTCTCCGAACCTGGGCTTCGGTCTTCGGGCCACTCACAAGGATATTCTAGCGTGTTAGAGCCTAAATATAACACATGGTAGTAGTAACATCGAATATAGTATAGGACATTACTGTATAGTTTATTGAGCGTTCTTGGGCTTGGGGCTACCATAAGGGTCCCTAGAAGGGTTGAGGGTTTTACTGTTCTGCAAGCTACCGTGAACGCTACTATAAGAGTTGAGGCCTTAGGGCTTGAGGCGTTTAGGGTTTGAGGGTCTCGGGATTGGTTTAGGGTTCTGGGTGGGTTGCCAGAGATACTTCAAGCATCACCGGAAGAGATACGACGCGGCTTACTACACGAGCCGCTGGACTCGGCTTGGATTGAAGGCGGCTTGGCCTTTGCGTAGACTTTAGGGTTTAGAATCTTAGACATCGGTGATCCATGCTGACGGTTTTGGCGTCAGGCAGCTCAAGCCCCTTACAGAAACCTTCTGGAACCTGTCTGAAACACTGTAAACCCACCCTATGAAACCTTTCCTCCCAAAACCCTAAACCCCTAAAACCCTAAACCCTAAACCCTAAACCCTAAACCCTAAACCCCCAAAACCCTAAAACCCTAAACCCTAAACCGTGTCGTCCCAGCGCTTCGTTCTTTTTTTCGGGCTCGGAAGCTTCCGGCTTTGAGGCTTCGGTTCGGTTCGGAGCCTGGCATATCAGGTTTAGAGCTAGGGGTTTATTTTAAGGCCCCTCTATTATAGTACCCTTATAGATCCCTTGTAGTAACCCTTATAGACCCCTAATAAGGAATCCCCATAGAGTGTAGATTCTTGGGTTGAGGGTCGAGTCTAGGGCTTGGGGATTGGGGCTGTGGGGATTGAGTTCGTAGCGAGTGGGCTTGATGAGCTTACGGCTCTTTACTTATAGGATCATGGGACTTAATAACTAGGGTTATAATTAGGGTAACTGTACTTGTAACATAACTGTAACCCCAATTAAGGTACTTATAAGCTTACTCACTAAGTCCCACGAACCTCCTATTATAGACTACTCATAGATCCCTTCAAGGAACCCTATTTAGAGAACCCTATAATACCCTTTTAAAGGGAACCCTAAACCCTACTTACCAAGTCCCACGATCCTCCCAAGTAGACCCTAGGGTCTAGAGTCCAGGGTGTAGTTTGAGGGGTTTAGGGGTTTAGGGGTTTAGGGGTTTAGGGGTTTAGGGTAGTCTTCCCTTATAGTCCCGCGAACTGTATAATCATAGTAGTTGCAACTTACCTCCCCCAAAGCCTGCTTCCACTATTACGGCCTCAATTTGTGGGCTTGCGGTTTCGGGCTTCGGTCGAAACTTTCGGAAAAGGAGCTTGTTGCCATAGTCGCTCGCACCGTTGGAGCAGTCAATCAGGACCTTGCAGCTGCAGATCTCCGGCTTCAGGCATACCGCTGATGGACAAAATCCTGCATTACCCATTATAAGCAATATGCCCTATATAGACTCATAATAGTAATAATAGTAGTAATAGTAATCGTTATATGTATATATATATATAGATGGGTAGTTGTCAAAATTAAGCTCCCTTTTTGGGTACCCTAAATAGAAGGTGCCGTACTATATTAGGGACCCAAAAAGGGACCATAATTTTGACACCCACCCATATCATTCGGGTTTGGAGCTTGAAGGGGGGAGGTGATTTTGTTGTAGGCTCCCTTACCCTTACCTTAAACCATGAGCCTCGGCCCAATCCCTTCAACTCTTGACCCCTACAGCGTGCCTGCAGCGGCGGTGCCATGTTCGACGGATACTTGAAATCCTTGTGCTCCCAAGGCATGTCGTAGCCTCCGCTGCTGCATTGGCACAGTGCAAGATCTATGGAGTTCGACAGATTCAGGCTTGTAGGCGTGGATTCTGGGGCTTGGGCTTTAGCGGATTTAAGGTGATGGGACCACCACAGGGTGCAAGCATCAGGGATATCACCATCCTGTCCACAATTTTGATGGTCTTCCAGGGTAGTTCTTCGTAATTCCCTGCAAGAGTCAGTATGGACAACAACGACAGCAACTGCAACACTCTGTAAGCTGTAAAAACAGAGGCGAGTAGCACTCATCACCATTTCACATATTACGCTTCACTAGAGGTTTGCCATGGTGGGAAACGGTCAGTCTTGAGTAAATACTCCATGGGAAAGCATCCGACTTCGAGGCTTCAGGAATGCGGTGCTCCGGATCAAGGCTTCGACCTTCAAAGTTCAGCAGAAAGCAGAGAGACAGAGGCAAAAGGAGGGACCGGGAGAAGGAGTGGGGGAGGGGAAGCGAGAGGAGGATGAGAGGGGGGGAAAAGAGGTGAGGGAGGTCGGGAGGGAGGGAGGGCTCAATAAGTGGGTTTAGGGAGGAAATTGGCGGGGCAGCTAGGGAAATTGCAAGCAGCTTCCAAGCCTGGAATGTGCAAGTTGCCCACTGCATAGCCTGCCACAGCAGCCACCACCTTGGTGCTGCAGAAACGAGCCAGATCCTACCACTAGCGTGGCATGCGTTGGTTTCGAAATCGTAAATGCAAAGCTCGAAAGGAAAAGAAGATGTGCATTATATTACATCATAAAGTATAGTATATAGTATATTATATATTCTTTGTATACTATATTATTATAAACTCGTCATACCTCGCGCCAACCTCTAAACCGGAACACCTTGCAGGCACATCGCACACCTCGATTCCAGCATGTTTCTGGCAGGTCGCATTGTAGGGTTTAGGGTTAAGGGTTTAGGGAAGGGTTCTACGGAACGGTAGGGTTTTGTGTTTCGTTAGGCACAGTATCCCGAGTTAAGCTAGTCCAGGTCTCGAACTCGTTTCCGGAGACCCCTGTCTATGCCTCATAATGAAGGCCGAAGCCCACGACTCTACCCGAATCCAACAGCCCACCCTAAGCCCAGAGCCCCGAACCCCTAACCCCGAACCCTCGACTTCGAGAACCCAACCCCAAACCCCGAACTTAAGGTCGAGCCCGTGACCCCAAACTCCCACAACCCCCGGCCCTACACCAAAAACCCTAAGTAGCACCGAAGCCCTAGGTATAACTACAACCCAAAACCCTGACGTCTAAACGCTACACCCCCCAACCTCCTGCATAGCTACCCTACAAACCCTGACGAAGCCCAAACCCCGGCTTCACCATTTCTGCAAGCCCCCTGTGGGAATGCAAAGTGTTTTGTTGCGATATGTGTGGTTCAAAGTTTGAGGTGTGTCTTAAGCTTGAGCGGGTTTCGGATTTCGGGGACCGAGTGGGCAGAGTTGTGTGTTGCCTGGGCGACTGGAACTTGGAGGGAGGGTTTAGGGTCCAGGGGTTTGCGGCTTTGAGTTTTAAACCCGGGCTTAGGGTTCTCAGTTTCCTGATCTTAGGGTTTAGTGATTGTTTCGGACATGTTTGGCGATGTGGATCCCAGTCGTGGCTGGTGGTATTCCGACATTCGAGGAAGGAAAACCACCCCGACACTACCCTACTAAATGGGAGTTTCTGAAAATTGAGGACCCTAATCCAGGAACCCTAAATAGTAGGATCCTTGTTATACGGACCCCAAAAATAAGGTACCCTTGACTTTCGGAAACTCCCAAGCCGGAACGCTGCTTTCTCCAACTCGCAACAGCCGCGCTCCCAGCCATTCACGTGCCCAGCACCCCCAGACAGATCCGCTTGAAGCCCGATTGTCAGGTTTTAATGTTTAGGGCTTAGGGTTTGGGAGTTTAGGGTTTAGGGGTTTAGGGGTTTAGGGTTGTGGGCCAGCACAGGCCCAGCATGGGGACCTTAAGGGTTTCGAGCTTAGGACTTTAGGGTTTAGGGTCAACCCTAACCCCTAAAACACTGAAAGTCTGAACCCTTGAATTTCAAGAACTTGTACGTGCAAGACTCTGAAATTTCCGGAACTTTCCAGAACTGAGACCCGGACTTCTCGGCCTAAGCCGTGGGGCCACGACCTACAAATCCTACAATCCGCTCAAGCCTCGACTACTCCATGGGTTTCGGTTTGGGGTTTAGGGTTTAGGGCTTAGGGTCCTCGGTGATGTCCGCACATAGCCGAAACAGAATGCGCCCCTGAAGCCCTGCCGTACGGAATTCGGGACTCTGCAGCTTGCACCATGGCCAAATATCTCAACCAACCTTCGATAAATCCAAAACCCACCTCCAACCCCCAACCTAAGTCCCTAAACCCCCAAACCCAAGTCCCAAAACCCCCAAACCCCAAACCCAAGTCCCTAAGCCCTAAACCCTAGACCCAAAGTCCCTAAACCCCCAAAACCCTGAAACCCGAAGCCGAACCCCTACCCCCTGGACTCTGGCCTAGATCTATGGAAAAGGATTTTGGCGGTATCTTATTGTGTGTTTTTGTTGGGACAGCAAGGGATGCTGCTGTAATTATTCCACCCCCGAAACCCTAGAACCCCAACCCTAAACCCTACACTCCTAATCCCCTAAACCCTAAACCCTAAACCCTAAACCCTAAACCCTAATCCCCTAAACCCTAAGCCCCTTCTAGTCTTAGTGGACCCTCAAGAGGACTCCAGGGGTGTCAAGGACAGTGATCCGGGAAGAGTTGCAGAGCAACCTCACATAGGCTGAGGTCCGAGCTGAAGACCTTCTAACATCCCGTGCTTCTTGGCATTTAGGGTGTAGGGTTCAGGGTTGCGGCTATTACTGTTGCATTTGTTGTTCTCATGGCAATGGACTGTACAGAATCATGAGCATGACCATGCCTACGACTATTGACGATGACGACTACGGCTACTGAGGTCACTATCATTCTTGCAGCAGTTATTCTCTTATTCTCACTAGAGGTCTTATCTGATGTCAGAGGTAATGTACACCTTCATGGGTTTTGGGCTGAAGGGTCCAGGACTTAGTGGCTTAGGGATTCAACTTTCCATGCAGGCCCCTGATTCATACATCCCCTCCTGTGATACCGATCATGGCAGGAATACTCTGACCAAATTTCCTAGAAACAAGCTTTTAATCTGGAGTGCACAGCAGGTAAATTCTCCGGGCCTAAACCTTAAACCCGCAAATCCTAAACCCTGCCCTATAAACGTTCAAGATTTTGTTGTGCTTAGATTCATGGCTGGGCCCGGGGCCTCAGACGAAGCTTGCTTTATTCGGCGCCCTCGACTTGGAGGTTCATGGGCAGTCATAAGTGGAGTTATAAGTCCCCTGATGTGGGCTATAACTATTGTTACCCTACTAAAAAACCCACTTAACCCATGAACCTCCAAATATTTGGGTGCAAATCAGATGCCAACGAAGCCCAGACGGAGCATTGCGAGAACTAGTGGCCGGTGCTTTTCAATGACGTGTAAGGTTCTGTAGGGTTTGTATAGGGTTTAGGGCTGGCTAAAAAGGCTCCTAGGCCTTGTTTGGCTTGTAGGGTTCAGGCTTAGGAATTGCTACGCGCTGCGAATCCTAGCACACTCGTTACTGCTTTGGCTCACGATACGGCTTGCGAGGCAAGGTCTTCAGCAGCCTAAGTTACATCTCACAGCGCCGTCATCAGCACCAATCATACTAAAGACTATTTTGGCTAACGATGATGGTTGGAGGATGTTGATGATGTTGATGATGATGATGATGATGACGATGATGATGATCATCATGGTGGCGGCGACCATGAAAGACTGCCTTCGATGTTCAAGCAAATCAAGGTGACAAGGGGTAGTGGCGGCGGTGGTGGTGTTGGTGGTGGTGGGGGCGGCTACGGCTACGGCTAGGGGCGGCGGCCGTGGTGGCGGTGGTGGCGGTGGTGGCGGTGGCAGCGGCGGCAGTGGTGGCATTGATGACGGAAGTGGCCGCGGAGGCGGTTGCTACTGATGCTAACAGACGCATCAAAGTAGATATTGAAGTATGAGCAGCAACGGCCGGCGGCAGAGAAGGAGGAAGAGTTGTAGCAGCAACGGCAGCAGCAGCTGTTGATGAAGATGGTCAGGAGGAGGATGTTGTTGTTTCAGTGGTCGTGGTAGGAGGGTAAGAGTAGTAGTTGAAGCATGCTTCGAAGCAGTAGTTGTTGTGTTGTTCTTGTTGTAGTTGCTGCTTTTGCGGCCGCCGCCGTCTTGGTTGCAGTTGTTGTTGTTGTCGTCGTAGTAGTTGTTGTTGCAGTTGCGCAGCGGCAGCAGCAGCAGCAGGAAGAGGATGAGTAGTAGTAGTCGTCGTCGTCGTGGCAATAGTAAAGGGAGATAGAGGCGGGGAGAAGGAGGAGGAGGAGGAGGAGTAGAAGTAGAAGTAGGAATACTAGTAGTCGTCGTCGTGCTTTTGCTGGTGGTGGTGGCAGAAGTACAGGCAACAGCAGTCGAAGTATGAGTGAGGCCAGGAATCGCGGCAGAAGCAGCAGCGGAAGCAGAGGAGTAGAAATACGAGAACAAAGAAAACTTGCTACTATTCCTGAACCCTAAACCCCGAACCTCAAACCCCTACTCCCTAGAGAGTAAGACAAATGGGCTCATTTCTGCTGAGTGCCCATCAGGGTCAGCACCTGAGAACCAGTTTTGTCTGCAGAGTTCTGCCGTTGATTAGGGTTGTTTTTTTGAACTCCTTTTTACGCCTGGAGTTTATTAGGGTTTAGGGAGGGCTTCAGAGGAGCTTGATAGGATGCTTACGGAGCGTCACGGGCTTTTGGAAAAGCTTCATGAACCTACAAACTAAACCCCTAATCCCCTAAATCCTAAAGGTGTTGGGTTTAGGGTAGGGCTTCAGGGCTTAAAACGTAACTGCGAAGGAAGGATCCGTGCTTCAGGTTGTGGGTTTTGGAGTTGGGGTTTAAGGTTTAAGGTTTAGGAATTTGCTTCAGCAGGTTTAGGGTTTAGGGGGGCTTTAAGCTTTGGGGCTCTCGGGTCCATGTTAAGTGGTTCACGGGTGAGGGGAGAACGGCTCGGGGAATCGGGGTTCACAGGGCAGACTTGGCCAAGGGTCCAAGCGATCTTATGCAAGACATCTTTCTGGCCTCGCGCTCGGAATTTAGGCTTCGGGGAAGCCGCTCGGCTTGCAGGTCTGAAAGTTTAAAGGCTTACCGAAGTCCAGATTCTGCCAATGCGTAAACTAGGTTGGCCCTTTAAGCATTTGGAAAGATTCGTAAACAAGATCCCCGTAGGCACAACAAGGGAAGATGCAACATGTCCCAAAGGCCTACCTAGTATGAAGTTTCACCCAGGCTGTTGCTGAACATGGCACTGTGGACACCAACAGCGCAGCGATGGCGAAGGTGAGGCAAGACCTCGGGGGATATCATCGATTCAAGCTTTCGGTTTTCAGGTGGGGGTCGTACTCGTCGTGGTGCTATGACAATTGCACCTCAACCCGCGAAAGTCACAGCTACGGCTGCAAGCAAACTCAGACAACTAATATAGGGGCCTAAATCACTACTCATAGTATTTTGGGGGGTTCCTTATTCTAAGTAGAGAAAAAATGGACCCCAAAACCCTACTCATACTATTTTGGGGGGTTCCTTATTATAAGTAGAGTCTAATGGACCCCCCAAAACCCTATCCAAAATAATGAAGACCCTTGTATTCCAGGCCCGAGCCCCGAACCCGAAGCCCGAAAAATCATCAAAACCCTCTGGTAAAACCCGTACTTGGAGGTTCATGGTTGGTTATAAGTGGGCTCCTTTAAGGGTCCCTTTAAAGGGATCTATAGGGATTCTATCAGGGGTATAGGGTTTAGGGCTTACTTGGAGGTTCATGGGTAGTTATAAGTGGGGTTATAAGTAGGGTCGCTATCTCTATAACCCATATCAGGGGACTTATAACCACACTTCTAACTACCAATGAACCTCCAAGTAACCCAAAACACCGAAAGCCTTCAAGCGAAAAATACCCGAACCCCCGACGCCCTAACCCTAAACCCAATGTCCGAAAACTGAAGCTTCGGGTGCGTCTTAAGGGGCGAGCGATACCGCGTGGCGCCAGTCCCGCTATAGCTGTGCGAGGGCTCCGGACGTTTGCGAGCTGCGAAACCTTAAACCATAAACCCTACACCCTAAACCGTAAACCGTACACCGAACCATCGTCTGGCACGGATGATGTAAGAACCCTAAACCTGCCAAGGTTGAGGGTTTAGGTGGCTGGGTTGTGCAGGCGCACTGAACATCCGCACACGCCAGAACACATGCTGTGCGTGGGTGGCGTGTGTGGTACGTCGTGCAAACCTTAAGCCCCAAACCCCTCAACCCCAAACCCCGAAATCGCAGCCTAGGAGCCAGGTGGCGCTGCACTGGATGAAGCTGTTCCAAAACCTCACAGCTCCGAACGGATTTGGGTTAGGAAGGGCCTCTTTGCAGTGCTCCTTGTGGGGTTGGCTTTCAAAAGGGGGCTAGAGTTAAAGTATTGCTTGAATTGCTCCTTGAAGGGGTTACACATCCCCCGTTACCCAACGCCACAAGACGGCAAGTAGGGTTCTCCCCCAACCCCAAAGGACCCTAAACCCCATGTTGCCTTAATCGTAAAACCCTGAAAGCCCCAAACCCAAAAAAGGCCTAAACCCTAAACCCAAAAAAACCTGAACCCTAAAACGCTAAATCCCTAAACTCCAAATAAAACCAAACCCGTGGAACTCTAAAGCACGTAGGAGGCCCCGACATGTCGAACCTGCGGTCTGAATTCCCAAACTTCGCACGTTTAGGGCTGAGGGTCTCGAGTTCAGGGTGTTGGGTTTAGGGCTTAAGGCTTAGGGCTCAGCGTTTAGAGTTTAGGCTTTAGGGCTTTGGGTTTAGGGTTAAACCAGTGAAGCAGCAGAAAGGGGGCGGTCTGCGGCGCTGTCTGCGTGATACTCAACCTGGTGTCGAGCTTGGGTTTGCTGGGTCACCACATGAGAGCTGCTTCAAATCCAGGTTTAGGTCTTTAGGGGGGTGCTACTTTCGATGGAGGAAATCTTGCACCACTTTAAGTGGCCGAGCAAAGCCGACACCCCAGGACACCCTTTAAAGAGTTTCTCGGAAGTGCCATGGGTTCGGCACCACCTCGGTATCCATCATCCTCAGCATTAAAAAGGGACTGCAGAGGTATGCTACTGTGCCGTGTGATTTGTTACCAAGTTGCTGGTGCAAGATTTCCGCCATCAACTGCAGGGTTTAACGTTCTATGGTGTCAGGGAACAGGGTGCAAAGTTTTGGGAACTGGAGGTGCCTGTTCGGACAGGACCTTGCTACAAAAGGATTCCACCACCATGGCGCGACATTCTTGTGGCTCTTACTCGGAAACACTAGCAACATCCAGAAACAGAATTCTCATTCTCACCGTCTTATGCAAAAAGACCTGAAAAGAGTTACAAGCAGACCACACTCCTCACCCCAAACGTTAGATCCCTCTGTTTGAATTTGCTCTGCTGGGCCCCTGGGCTTAAAAGGCTGACGGCTTCTGCTTAAGGGCTTCCGATGCATCATCGTCATCGTGATGATGGATAGTTTTCGTCTTGGGGACCCTTTATTTACCCGGTGGCCAGCGAGCCCAACTGTCAAAGAAGACGCAACCGAAATTGTGGCCAGAAAATGCATGAAGATTGATCCTGCACGGTCTGGAACCTTGTAAACTAAATCTAACCTTATCAACTAAATCTGAAGCCTATGAAGACAGACCCTGAAGGCTGAACCACTAAACCCTAAATCCCCTAAACCTCTCAACCCCTGAACCCCTGAACCCTTAACCCCTAAACCCTAACTAAACATCCCTAAACCACCCAAAACCTAAAGCCTCCGAGCAACAGGTGCGTGCCCCAGGCCAACCACACGAAGGCGAGGCCCGAGGCCACGATCTCCGCGAAGATTCCGCCACGTGCGGGCTGGTCCTGGAGAGGCGGACATGGAGGGTTTAGGGTTTAGGATTCCTTTTCAAGGGATCTATAAGGAATCTATAGAGGGATCCACAAGAGGGTTTAAGCTTTCGGGCTAGAGGGGCCTAAATAAATGGAACAGGGTTCGGGGATATGATGAAACGACGACTGTGATACTGTAAGGGGACATTTTTGCGGGCGGGACTTCATGTGACAGAAGACTGAGCATGTGTAGAATCTGCAATTTACTCAGATGCCTTTGTACCAGGGCGAGCATAGTCTCTTCACACACGTACGTGAGTTTGTCGTGTGATGTAAGCTTGTGGTATGTCTTATGCTATGAGGTGCAATGCAATGTCATGCAGATGTAGTGTACACGAGAACTTCATCGTATTGTAACGTCATATCATGTAAGTAATCTGGATTGATGTACTATCATGTAATTTGATGTAGTGTGACATGCACAATACAAAAAACATGTAGCACGTAATGTGTACTGTGTGGTGCCATGTATTGTAGTATAACGTAAGTCAAAGAATGCAATGCGCAAAGCAACGTGCAAGCAAAGCAATGTGGAATGGACTGTGTTTTGCAAGGTGCAATGCAATATCCCATGCACTGTGCAATGTATTGTGTTATGTGATGTGCATCGTCATGCAATTTACACTTTGCTGCAATCTGTGAAAATGTGCAAAGCAGTGCGATGCACTGTCATGTGAATGATATACACATATAGATCTACTGAGATGTAAATGTAATGAACCGAATATATACTATGTGCATACGTGTGCGTGCGTGCACCCAGACAACGTATGCATGCATGCATGTGCATGGTGTATGCATGCACACGTATGCGAACCCGTTCGCACACGTCACACATGCATGCTTCCACATTCATACACCTCTGCATCTGTATATGCATGTCTATGTGCACATATGTATAGATATACAAATACATGTACATATACATATTCATAAACAAATACATAAACATGTACGTAAACACAGACATATAGGTGTACATATACATACGCATACACACATGCACATTCATATACGGGGGGTCAGACATATACCTGTACGTGTACATGTACAAACATAAGTATGTACATATGTACATGCATACATACATACATACAAACATATATACTACATGTATGTATGTATGTATGTATGTATGCATGAACGTATGTGTGTGCGGGTGTGTGCGTGTGTGTGTGTGGGGGGGGGGCGTGTATGTACACCTACTATTTAAACGGAGTCAGGCAGAGATCCATAGATGGATAAACGGCAGATCGACAGATAGTCAGATCAGGTCCATTTAGAGAGGCACAGAGAGATGGAGAGAGAGAGAGAGGGAGAGAGAGAGAGAGAGGGAGAGAGAGAGAGAGAGAGAGAGAGAGAGAGGGAGGCCTTATGCATCGCATGACAGGGCTAGCCGGTTCAGTGGCTATTTGGAGCTTAGCCCCTGACCCCTAGACCCTGAACACCCGACGTGCTGAACAAGCCCCAATGTTGTTGGCTTCGAGTTGTGTTACGAGGAATTAGAACCAGGCTTTGCTAAGTATTTGGCCATGGTCAAACAGGACTGCAAACTATCAGGATTACTGCATGATTGAAGCTCTTTACTCTGCTAAGGCGGCTTACGAAACGTCATAGAAACTGAGAGCGTGGTCTCTGCAGATTTGTTCTTTCGGGTGCCAACATCAACCGACCTTGATCCCAGGCAGACCCTAGTAAACATCCGAATGAGAGCACTTGCGACAGCAGAACCGTGAACGCTTAGTGTCGGACTTAATTAAGACAACCCACGAAGTGCATAACTTCCAGCATTGTTGAAGAACGGTCCGAAGACCAGGCACAACCAACAAGCATCGTGCAGCAATCACACTCCGAATTGGGATGCTGATTATGAGGATACTGATACAGTTTCACCTCTTCGAAACAGCTTTCTAGACTCTAGAAATTGCACCACCTCCTCTGCGCAAGCGTTCCAAAAGCGCGCGATGCTGTCGGTGAACCAAGTCGTCGGAAAGGAAAGCCTGGAATCTCTCCAGCTAGTGCTTAAGGTTCATGCTGCATGCTTGGTTTAGGGTCTGGAACCCTCTCTCAAAACCTTACAGAAACTCTTCCAGTGAGCCTGTTACAGGAGGCTGGCCAAGGCCAGAATTCTAGTCGGGAGGGCCTTCTCACGAACGCTCGCAACGAACACTAGGCAGAAGGCCCCGCCAAACCTACGAACCCGCCCTTTCGTAGACCCAAAAGACCTTTCTACGAACCCTGATAGCAACTCTTATAGTAACCTGTATAGGAATCTTTCTAGTAGCCCTTACAGTAACCCTTATAGTAACCCTTACAGTAACCCTCATGGTAACTCATAGAAATCCTGTGCAGAAAGCCTTCATTCAGCAAGCCCCAAGAGTCCCACTGAACTCAACTCGGACAAAGAAGCAGCACGGAGCCGGCAGCAAAGGTCCTGCGCACAAAAGGGACCCAAATATTTAGAATAACGTGTCTTGTGAGGGTTCTTTAAAGGTGCGGTTACTGCAGCTGCAGTAGCAATAGTAGCGGTAGTAGCAGCAGCAGAAGAAGTCGTCGTCTGTGTGGTCGTCGTCTTCGTCGTGGCCGGCGTCTTTGTTGTGATCGTCGTGTCGTCGTCGTCGGCACTACTAGTACTCGAACTCGTACTCGCACTGGTACTTGCAGCACTAGAGTAGCACGAGCAGAAGGAGCAATGGAAATGCAACTGCTATTGAGCTACTGGCTGCATATGGTAACACCGCGGCAAAGCAAGCTTGGCACTCAAACGAAGAACTAACTGTGCCCATCACGATGGCAATCAGCGAAATGATAGAACTTCGAGCAGCCAGAACAGTGAGCCGTAGGGTTCAGGAACTTTGGGTTTGGGGCTTTACGGGAGGAATTAGAGTTTGCCTTATTATTTTAAGGAACTCACTGCAACACGCTTGCCCCCCACACACAGAGCAGGACTCCCAGGAAAGCTCCCCGTCCTCAGAGGGACGTCCAGAGGCGCGCCGAAGGACGAGAAGATGGACGCAGATGTCATAGCCTTCAGTTGGGTACTGCTCCCCATATAGTAACAACCCTTAAGAGGACTACTTTTAAGGGGCGTCATACTTATATATATATATATATATACACACATATATGTTTAGATATATATATATATATATACCTATACATATACATATATATATATATATATATATGTATAACACAACGGTATATATATATATATATATATATACATATATAGATACATATTTATATTCGTCTTTTTGGTAGTCTTCAACTGTCGCTGAGACGGGGCAGATGTCATGGCCGTAAGCTCGTTCGGTCTTCAGCTTTCAGGGGCTTTAGAAGCTGTCGGTTCAGTCTGAGGAACCGGGTGGCTGTAGTGTTGCCGGATGAGCCACTTCGGGAGCCGTGCTCCAAAAGAGTTGTGGCAACACATACTTCTTACCGCAAGAATAACAGCGGTATTGATCGTCGCACAGGTAAGGGAGCAGGATCCTACTCACCAGTATCATCCTCGCAAGACTGCACAAACTTACAATCCATGCAATCTCGCATGCCCCTCCTCCTCTCATGCCCACATAAAGTTTTGATACCTCGATTTGCAAGCTTAGGGCCTAGCACCAACGAGCAAAGAGATAAGACCCCGCAAACACTGGAAGGATGTTGGGCCTCAAGGGGGGGCGCAGGGGTCAGGTCGCAGGGCCCCAATCAATGCCTGGGCCTAGTATACTTCAATACAGGGGTTTTGAACACTCAGTGGAGATTTTGCTGGTGTGGTATAGTACTAGTACTACTACACGGAGTAGGCGTGATAATCCTTGTACTTGCACTAGCAGAAGGTGGAATCTAAACTTTCCTACATTCCTTGCCCAGCAGCATCCGCAAAGCAGAGCAAAGCGATGCTTGGCCGGATAGAGCCTTGGAGAATAAATTCCAGAACGGCCCTGAACGGCAAACACGCAACCCAATGATTGGGGCTGCTTCAAGCGCCGATCCCTTCGAACCTCGCTTCCCACAAGAAGAAACAGAAGAAGAAGAGCCCCTTCAAGGGAGACGCACCTGAACCCTACACCATGAACTTAACCTTGGCCAGTAAGCTGAAACGGGTCTTACAAAGGACAGCATGGTCTTTAGGATCTAAGGCTTCGGGTTTCGGGTTTCGGGTTTAGGGTTCAGGGTTTCGGGTTTAGGGTCTTGCAACATGATCGATGTGACAGAATGGGCCAAAGCAGGTGTTGCTCACGCCACCCGGTCTCGGCTTTGCTGGACGAAGCACTGTTGAAGCCCTGGGGCGCCTCCTGCACGGCTGGTTGCGGAGGGGTTTGTGACAAGGTCTGAATGGTTTTCTGGTTTGAAGAGGGCTTTTAGTTGGTTTAGGGTTTAGGGCTTCGCGTTTGGGGCGGGATTTTAAGCCCTCAGCTCTTACCTCCAAAACCAAGACCCTAACCCTATCAACACCCCTCAGCTGCTGCACATGGGGATAACGCAGAAGCCAGTTCTTGAACCCCAAAGCCTGCAACTTCGCAACCCAAACCTTAAACCCTTGTAGAGTTCAGCTTGAGGGTCTAGGAAGTTTACGGTTCAACTTCAAACCCTAAAGCCGGGCATGTAGGGGCTTTGATAATTGGAATAGGGTTTTGCGCCACTATACTATAGCTATAACAAGGAAACCCCCAAAAAATAGTATGGGTGATTATTTAAGCCCCGATATTATATTACCCTTATAGATCCCGTATAGTAACCCTTACCCAGACCCCCGGGAGGATCCAAAAAGTCGATCCCTTAATGGGGGGTTCCTACAAAGTACCCTTAGTAGTATAGGGCCCCCATGGTAGGAGATCTACTTTCTAGATCCTCCCCGGGGTCTGGGTATAGACCCCTTTAAAGGAACCCATAAGTAACTGAACTCGATATCCGGCCTCCTCCTAAACCCTAAACCCTAAACCCTAAACCCTAAACCCTAAACCCTAACCCTAAACCCTAAACCCTAAACCCTAAACCCTAAGCCAGTAAACTCGATATCCCGCCTCCTCCTCCTCCTCATCCAGGAGCCACTTCGGAAGTCGCCAGGCCCCGAAGGAGTGGAGGCAACCGAGAGTTCCCACCTTGGGGGGCTTAGGGCCCCCTTAAAGGGATCTATAGGGGTACCTTTAAAGGGATCCAGAAGGGTTCTATAAGGGATCTATAGGGCTCATAGGGTTTAGGGGTTTAGGGGCTTTTGGGGTTTAGGGTTTAGGGTTTAGGGTACAGGGGTTTAGGGTGTAGGGTTCAGGGTTTAGGGTTTCGGGTTGAGGGTTTAGGGTTTAGGGTATGGTGTTTCTACCTGGGTGGTTGTCAAAATTATAGGGGTTCTACAATCGATGCCTGAAAGCATCCCTTTACAGGGAACCCTCTTCTAATCATTCTGGGGGCATATGGGTGGTTGTCAAAATGATGGTCCCTTTTTGGGTCCCTATTATCATACCGGCACCTATTATTTAGGGTACCCGAAAATGGAGCTTAATTTTGACAACTACCCACCTGGATAGAAGGCACCGGGGAGACAAACACGACTGTGAAAACAACCCGCGACAACGACTACGACTGCGACTGTGCTTACGAAGTACTACTACGACGACTACTGCTTCTGCTACTTCTTCTGGAACCGCTACTGCTACTGCTCCTATTCCTACGTCTGCGACTATTGCGATTACGATCACTAGTCTGAATGTTGTTCTTTTGCACCACTTCTGGCTGGGCTTCCTATGATTGCTACGACTATGCGTGGCACTTCATGGCTGCTCCTTTTTCTAATGCTGTTAGCAAGTACTACCACCGCCGAGCAGCACCACCGCTGTAGCGTCAAGGTTCAGGATTTAAGGCTCCAGATCCACCCTGCCCCCAAACCCCCCCTCACAAAAAAAAAAAAAAAAGAAACAGAGGGATAGAGTTTGAGTTCGGGGTACATAAACCCCAAATCCTCAAAACCCCAAAAAATCCTAGGAGAGGGAGGCGATAGAAGCCCGGACTCCACGGAAGGAACAGTGCCGCTGAGCCGCGAAGCCGATCCCACCAGCCATCGCAGGAACCAGGGAGGCCGCCGTCGTCTGCAAGGGACTTACGGGCTTTCTAGATGCAGCCTTGGCGGTGTTGCCTTGGCGGTGTTAACTTCGAAGGGGCCCCCACTCTGTAATAGTGGTATAATGGGAATATAATAGGGCCCTAATATACTCCTTATAGTCACGATTACAGGATGGGGGCCCCTTCTAAGTGATAACCGGTGATAACCCTAACTCCAAAGAATAATATTGGTCACTATCCCGGTTCCGACTTATAAAACCGTCAACAAAATCCACAAGCCTTGACAAAAACACCCCAAAAACCTCAGCCTTAGCGGTGGGCACCAGCGTGCCGATTGACCCCACGATGCCTCAGCTTTAGGGTTTCGGGGGGTTTAGGGCTTCCCTTAAAGGGATCTATAGGGGTGCCTTTAAAGGGATCCATAAGGGTTGTTTAAGGGATCTATAAGGTTCAGGGGTTTCAGGGGTTTCAGGGGCTTCGGGCAGGGCTTCCGGGGGTGTATATTTTACTACAACTCTTTGTCTCGGTACAAAAAGCGAATAGACTTGAAGGCCCCTATACCCCTATACTTGGTTCGGCCTTTAACCTCTGCACCCTCAAACACTAAACCCTAAACCCTAAACCCTAAACCTGAGGAGGGGCTACAGTGCACATGCCCTCATGCCCGCCTTACCTCGAAGTCCTGGGGCTCCCGCGGCCGAAGGCCCTAAAACCCTAAAAATCCTGAACCCTTATTTTCCTAAACAGCCTATACTTTAGAAGAATAGTGGTATAACAGGATAATATAATAGGGCCCTAATATAATCCTTACAGTCACTATTACAGGGTGGGGGCAGCTTCTAAAACAACCTATACTCCAAACCGATATCGGGTTCTGCCGAGACAAAGGCGAAACGCCTCTGAGAAGAATCTGAAAATACCCTTACTCCAAGAAAAAAATCGTGGCGAGTGGAAGGAAAAGGACCCCACCGCCGAAACAGAAGATCCGGAAGGGTTGAGGCCAGAAGGTTCAGGGCTTCGAGGTTCAGCACTTTGACTTGTGGGGCTTGGGGTGTTGGAGGTTGCAGGGCTTATGGGGATTTGGGATCGGTTTCGTTTCTTATGCATGTAGCAACAAGAAACATGCATTCGCAGAATGTTTTCATGTAGTCGTGATAAAATGCCCCTACCCATACTATGACCACTCGCATTGCGCAGAAAGTCTGAACAAAGAGAGCACTAAACCCCAAAACTGGATTGTTGTCAGCAAGTTAGTTTCAGCTTCCCTAATCAGGAAGCCCTATCAGTTGCGATAGATCCCCGTTGTGGCAACTTACTTCAGTCTTCCTAACAAGAACTAGACCCCCTTAGAACCATAGTAAAAACGGTATGTTTAATAGTCTCTTGGGTTTTATATGAACAAAAATTTTAAAAAAAATAGTTCCTAAGGAGACTATAGAGAACGCAGAGAAGGACCCGCCAGGGAGCCGCTCAACTTTGGAGTCTGCAGTGCAAGCGTGGAGGCATCCAGGAGCCTTTGATGCAGGGGACCCAGAGACTCCAATATCCCTTCATTTAAGGAATATACCTTAAATTGTAGAAAGTAAGGTATCCCTAATATAATTTAAGGCATATCCCTTCATTTAAGGAATGTACCTTAATAGTAGGATCCCTAATATGGTTTAAGGTATATTCCTAAAATTAACGGATACCACAGTCTCTGGGGACTCGGAGATCAAGAAGAAGTGTGGAGCTGATGGGCTTTCGGGTCAATTAAAACACCTTCAACCCAAAGCCCTGAACCCTACCACGTAGCATAGGCTTTGGGGCTCTACTGTTACAAGTATTCAGACGTATTGAAGGCGTGCTTCGTGGTTCCCAATGCTCTACCTGCAAAGGGGTTCAGGTGTAATGACCAAATCATATGGGAGCTTCTGAAGATAAGGGACCCGAATATGCGGCCCAAATAGCAGGATCGCTTTTGTATGGACGCCTACGCAGGTCCTGCAATTCTCGGTTGAAGCCCCATATCAGCAACTGCTGACGATCCTGCATTGGTCATCATCTCGTTCCCAACCCGATGCCACCAACACCGTGCTTCTCCCAAACAGGAAAAATCCTGAACCTGAAACTTAAACTCTGAGCCCTCAAATCCTAAATCCCAGACCCAACACCCTGCAAATCCTAAATCCAAGACCGTGTCTTGGCACCACCCCCGAGTTCCCCTTCCTACACCACGGCATTTCAGCCCAAACGCTCAACCCGGGCTTCCCCCACCCCCAACAAAACTCTACCTTCGCTTCGCGAACCCCACACCCCGAAAACCGAACCCCAAGAACCAGAGCTTGGGCTTGGGGGGTTTTGGGGTTTCGGGCCCACTTGGGGCTTACTTAGGTTTTATTAGGGTTTATGGTTTGGGCGTAGGTTTTGGGGGTTGGGACTTAGGATACCCTGAACCCCAAACTCTAGGGCACAAACTCTCCCACGGCTGCCCAGGCACATGTCGTGGGGCACCACGGCGGCCCCAGAACCGCCAACGGAGGAAAGCTTCACTAACCCCAAGCCTGCGAGCACTAGGGTTTAGGGTTTAGGATTCGTAAGGGGTTGGAAACTTTACATCACCGGGCCGAAAGTTTCGACCCACTTGTCGATCATCAAACATACAGGCTCTTGCGGAGTAGCGGAGCACCTCAAAGTGTCGTTTACCCTACGCAGGCTAGCGGAGCAAGTTCTACCCGGCTTTTAAAATATAGTATAAAGTAAAAGCCAGAAAGTTGGAATATGATTATCCTAAACCCTTTATGGTAAACTATAGGGTATCCTACCCTGAAACCATATTCCAACTTTCTGAGTTCCCTTTACTACTTTCGTTTGCCGGAGGAGGTCCCAAGGCCCACTTGTGTTAGGAGCCTATGGGGAAGAGGGTGGGGGGCTATGTGTTGTAGCATGTTCAAGCTAGTGGGTCGAACTATCGGCCGGCGCAGTCTAGTGTAACGGAACCCTAAACCCTAAACTCTAAACCCTAAACCCTAAACCCTAAACCCTAGGGACCCTAAACCCTAAACCCTAAACTCTAAACCCTAAACCCTAAACCCTAAGCCCTGAACTCTAATCCCTAAACCGGGCTCTGTGAGGTTGCCTAAAGGGCTTAACCCCAAGCCCGGGGGAGCTTCCGGGTTCGTAGGGGCAAGGCTTTAATGGGGCTCTTTGAGGATTTGCTCAGGCGGGTTCTACCATGGTATCACGGATCCATAAGGGTATAGGGGTTCTATAGAGGATTGTGGTTTAGGGCTGGTGGAGGGCTTAGAGTTTAGAGCTTGAGGTTTGGGGTTTGGGCTTCGGCATTTGGGGTGCACGATTTTGGGGTTTAGCGTTGAAGCTTCAGGGTCTGGGGCGTGGGCTCAGGGTCTTTTAGGGTTTAAGGGTTCAGGGTTTAGGGTGGGGGTTTCGTGGCTTGCAAGTTTCAGGGTTTAGGGCTCAGGGGTCTAGGGTGGGTGCTATGTATATGGATACACTGCGTACATACACGTATTCGAGTTGACCGTTGTGTCGTCGACGATGGGGCACACTGCAGGCTGGCTTTCCACAACGAGCCGGTGCCTAGAAAGTTTGGCAGCTTGGGTGTGGCCTTTCCTGTCAAGGCTCGGTGCGGCCTTCGTGCTGGGAAGGCTTCAGGCCAAGAGCGTGCTGAAACTCTGGCCAACCGAACCCTGAAGACTACACCCGCACCTTTTGAGAAAGCTCTCATGACCTAATCATCCCTCAATCTTCAACCCAAAACCCACACGCAACTGCTCCCACCTGCCGTCGCGGCCCCCTTGCCCATGGCCATTTCCACGAAGACCATGGCTCCAGTGAACTTCCGGAACCCTACTGGTTTAGGGTTTAGGGTTCCCAATTCCCGAAACTCCGAATCCGGCAATGGGTTCCATGGCTTGCAATCGGTGAACTTACTGCGACCGTAGGTCCAAGGAGCCATGCTGCCGTTCAGGCAGGGCCTAGGACCGTAAACTTCTCTCATGCTGCTGCACTCTCACCTCTGGGCCTGATACACTGCCATCCCCCGCGTATTGAAGGGCCTGCAAAACATGTCCTGAACGTGAGGCCGCTCAGGATCTACGGCTTGGGTTTCGAGTATTGGGCTCAGGGCTCTCATACTAGTAAAGGGAATCCTCAGACAGCCATCAGAAACGCAGAAATTACTAAAGTAGTGAAAAATTGGAACCATGGATACGAAAAATAGGAACAAAATTACACAAAAAGGAACTCGAAGCTACTGATCGAGATGTTGCTCGAAACATGGGTTCAGGGCTGATGTCGGGGTGGGACAGCACCTGGTCGCGAAAACAGACCCTATGACCTCCAACGCCGAACCCCCATTCACCCCAAAGCCTGAAATCACAAAACCCCAAACCCCAAACCCTAAATCCTAAGCCCTAAACAAAAACCATACAACCACAGACAGAAACCTTGAAGCCGCGGCCAAAAAACCCGAAAAGCCTGAACCCTGAAACTGCCAGCCGGCCCCAAAACTCGAAACGCCCCTGAAACTCGAATGCCTGGACCTGGCACGGGTTTTGGGTTCCCAGAGACTCCAAAAACCTTTAATTCAGGAATATACCTGTAATAAAAAGTAGGATTCCTAACATGACTTTAAGGTATATTCCTGATTTAAGGGATATTGGAGTCTCTGGGTTTAGGAGAGGAGGAGAGGACCCACGGTTGCAAGAAAACCCTCAAATGATAAACGATTCCGAGCACTCTCATAATCCATGATTCATTTGGGTTCCCTGCTATACCTATACTATAAGACGCCCAAAACCCCCCTATAATTCCCTAAATTCAAGCCGTATGGAATCCTTTTGGAACCATTAGAGGAACCCCTTTAACGGAACTCCGTTCAAATTCCAAGTATAGAGGCCCCTATTCTCCAACTAACCCAACTCTTAAGTTCATGTTTGGCTTGGGGTTTAGGACTCAGGGTTCAGAGCTTTGTTGGCTTTGTTGCTTCTGCGTGTAGGATCGAAGACAAGGGATGTAGGATGTAGTGGCTTTCTGGCTGGGAGTGGGTGAACCCCCCAAGCTTACTTGCCCGTCTGGGGTCCGGGCCAAGGACCCCTTGCCGGTGCTCTCGCCATCTCGGATGCGTCCTGCACCACACGACAACAAGCGCAAAAAAGTTTTAGGGTATATTCTACTAGAATTGTAACAAGGAGCCCCAACATAGTATTGTTGGCAATGACTTAGGCCCGTGCATCATTCAACAATGTCCCACAGCTCTTCGCACATTGACTCTGAATGCCCCAGCAACCTGACACGATCCTTGCAATGCATCCCCTTGTAACGTAAGCTGGTCCCGAAGCCCTAAACTCGAACGCGTCTTTGCTAAAGACGTTGTGTACCGTCGTCAAAAGCGAGAGTCGCTTGCATAGTTTGGCTGGATCCCACTCAGGGAGACTTCTGGACTAGACACGTTGCAGAGGTACCTCACATTCTGTAGGGCTTCGGGGCTTTAGGGTTGTGGGGCTATAGGGTTTGAGGGTGTTTTGCGATGTAGGGTCTGGGGTTTAGGAGTTATGATGCGATTTAGCAAGCAAAAGCAGGCTCCGCGGATCCCAAACCCCAACTGTCTCGAGCTTCATTTCGGTTCTTCGATGCGTCCGGGCGCAAGGGACGGCCACCCAGCCTTCCTTACACCCCAAACCAGGAACGAGCGTCCTCTGTTTGAGACGAGGCCCTGAACCCTGCAACCGAACTGCCTCCGCAGGGGCCATGGAATCAAAAGAAGCCTCTACGAGGCTGTGAGACCTCGTTCAATCTAGAGGCCTTAATAATTACCGAGACTATTTTGGTGGCTCCTTGCTAGAATTACAGGATAATGGGCCCCAAAACCCTATATTGTGCCCTGAGGCTTAGTGCCTCCACAGGCCCCAGGCATACCCAAAACACGAAGCCCGTGGAACCCCCAAGCCTGCAAGAACTAGGATCTAGGGTTTAGGGTTTAGGGTTTAATGGAACCCAGGCGAACTCAAACTCGGAAGAAAAAGCCCTCCAGACCTCACACAAAACAACTGCGAACCCCAAGCTCGTAAGCCCCAAACCGCTGTAAGCTGTAACCCGGATTAATCCCAAACACCGTCTCTCGCTCGTTCTCTCTCTTGCTTGCTTGCTAAGGGGGTTCAGCGCCCCAAAAGACCCTTGGCTCTCTCAACGTAACGTTTTCCCAGCGTCCTCCTGCGCCGGTCTCTGCACCTGGCAAGGACTTTCTTAGGGCTCCCTTGGGACTCCTGCAAGGGATCCTGTAAGGGCTCATTCAGGGTACGTTCCACAAAGAAAAGCGTTCTAAACGATGTTGTTGCTTAGGGGCGTTAGGGCCTATTCCTTTTTTTGGGTGGGGGGGTTAGAGTTTGAGGCTTAGATCTCAACTGACGTGGCGGATTGGTTTCGCGGGAGCGCATACAAGCAGGCTTGCGAAGAAAAGCTAGGGTCTAGGTTAAGGGTTAAGGGTTGAGGGTGTGAATCTGAATGGATGAAGCTTCTCACTTGGAGACCGGAATCCTGGGAACAGTTCTGGTGAGCCAATCAGCTGACCCTATATAACCCCCAAACCCTCAACCCGCTAGGCCTAGGCCCAAAGCCCTGACCCCAAAATCCTACGCGCTGGCTGCCGAAAAAGATGGAACTCCCTCACCCTCAGAGCTCAACCCGGGTAGCAAGAAAGCTCCCGCACCAGATGCTTTAGACTTCACTGGAGCAAGGATTACTATGAAGGTTTAGGGCTTAGGTCCCGGGTTCAGAGTTCAGGGTTTGGGGCTTTCGGGATTTAGGATCCTTGGGTTTTGGGGTTTTAGGGGTTAGGGCTTGAGGGTTTTTTCGGGCCCCCGGGGATATTTGCAATTATTTAGGCCCCCAGAGTATACTACATGTAGGGTTTTGGGTTTCGGGTCCGGCCCCGGCCTGGGAAAGGCGCAATTCCACAGGGGAAGTTGTGAGTTTCGACGGTCAGTGTGATGTCGTAGTCGCGGGTCACCTACGTGGCAGTGGATTCGGGAACCCCCTCCCAGAAAAAAAACTCAACCTGCTGACCCTGAACTGTGGCTCGATTCTGCTTGAGGCTTGCAGCTTGCAGGAAACCCTAAACCCTGAACCGGGCTAAGTATCGCACGGGTTACGGGTTAGGCTCCTAGGTTTCGGGGCTCAGGGTGGCCATGAAGCGAGCTCAGGTCTTGAAACCCGATGACCTATGAAATCATCTCACATAACGAAGTATATATGCAAAAGTATACAATACTTTCATGTACTCAAACTAGTAAACGAAGCCTTGTGATCCGTAACCCTCACTGCTCCCTTAAACGGGCACATCAAGTTTGGGACCAGACTGGAGCCTTAAGCAACCTCTCCGGAAGGACCCTCTTTCCGAGTTCTCAACAAAACACTGACCTCGCTGAAAAAGCAATACGTTCTTTTCGTTTCGGGTTTTGTGGTTCACAGTGTAGCGTTAATGGTTCAGGATGTGACACAGTCTTGACCATAATCTAAGCCACAGAACCTGCTAATAACCCTGGATAAGAGCTCTAAATACCCGGAATAAAACCCACAAAGAACAACACGATAAGTGTTCAAACTCCAGTGAATTGATTTTTCAAAGCTCGGCAGAGTAAACACGCACACGCTCGCTGTTGAAACAGAAACTGTCACCTCCAAAGGGCGCCTCCTTGAGTGGGCCAGGCTCGGCCACGGATCCACTGGGGTAGAAATTGGTGTGCGAGTAGCCTGGCTTGCGTGGTGGGCTTAGGGTTAGGGTTCAGGGTTCAGGGTTTAGGGCTTAAGGTTTAGGGTTTAGGGCCTAGGGTTTAGGGTCTTGGGCGGGTTGGTCTCCAAAGTTCAGGGTTTCGAGAATCGACTGCAGGGCTCAGGGCTTTCGGTGAGGGTGTCATCAGGCTGCTGTGCTTAGATTTCAGAGCGCAGGGCGGGTTGAGGGTTTCATGCGCTTTTTTGCCAGAATCGGATCTACGACCACCAGTGCTCGTAATACCACCACTCCTACTACCACCACCGCCACCACCACCACCACTACGCACAGCAGCCATCCTGCTCATATCATAAAGTGTACGGCAGGGCAGCCTTAAAGGAGAACCTTATAGGGAACCTTTCTTGGAACCCGATAGGGGACAGTGCTCGAGAAAAGGAAGAACCAAGACAACCCTAAACCCTCAAGCACGGACGCACACGTTTTCTCGCGAGTGGGTAGCACGACACTCCGTAGCGCAGCACGGCAGACATGCCAGTGCTCGAGGAGATTTTGGAATAGCATGTGCCACAACCCAGCATGGGCGCACAAGACTAACCCTACCCCCACCTATCGTGCCGTAGGGTGGCAGCGGGCCCGGCACGATGAAAAACACTGCAGTGGCCACAGCTGGCAGCAAACACACATGCAGAAACTCAAAGAGCCTGCAGAAGCAGCTAACTTGCGAGGACGCGAGTGAACACGCAAGCCAAGGGCACGCAAGAAGAACACTGACGCGCACACACGACATGCGAGTGCAACCCTTGCACAGGCAAGCAGCCTTAACACGCATTCCCTCGCCCTTGTCCCCCTACGAAGGACAAGTCCACTCCACTAGTACCCTTGACGGGACCCTAAAGTACCCTTTAAAGGGGACCCTATAGAACCCTATTGTGCAGGTGAGGCCTCTCAAGGCACTGCTGTTGTCGTGGAAGCCAATCACGCTGTTGCCTTGCACCGGTGAATGCATCAGCAACAACGAGCGGTTTAGGGTTTAGGGTTTAGGTGTGCAGGTAGTGCTTACACCAGTAACCATG